ATGATAGGCTCTCGAAATCTGTTTACTAACAATCAGATTATGTTGTACGATTGCTTTGAAATTAGTATTTTTTTGTCTGCTTTTCTGATTGTGTGTATTACTAGCGGAACGGGCATAGGTAGAGTTTAATCCTATTTATGATTCAGTTTTCAATCTTTTTCAAATAAGGATTAGAAGCATATAGTCCTGAATCACCGCTTCAGGTTGCACAGTTTTAACACAAACATACAGATCTTTATTTTAATCGTGTAAATGTAATTTTCAAATCTCAATTTGAAATCTCAAGTTGAAAATAACTGTCAGTTGTTTGAAAAGTGAAGATCCTTATGCTGGTGTGCTAGCCTTGTAAATTAATTAAATCTACTATGTAATGCATTGTTAGGCTTATTTTCGTCATGTTTTATTTTTTTTTTGCTTCAGTATTTTTTTTTCCATTGAATTATTCTACTTTGATAGAAACATGATCATTACGTAACATCTATAAAAGGTATTCCTAGGAATAAAATATAAAAACACATTATTTAGTCTGCCAGAAATAGCAAGCCAAATAAAATTCATCTTTACATTTTTCACCACCACAGTTTTCCTTTTACCTATAGTGATATTGTTGCTAACAATAAGTGTTGTTCTATATCATCATAAATCTTTCTTCTGCAAAAAATGAAGTAAATCTGCTATGTTGTTGAATGATCTATAATTCTTCAGTTCTCACAAAAGCTTCATAAAAATGATTAAAGTGTGGCCACATTTTTCAGATCTCCTGCACTTCATTATCCCATTATTGACACAAAGAGACCATCTTCAAATCGTGATATCAAGATTTATTTTGTTATTTTGAGAACAAAGCCCATTTCTAAAATAAATCTGAAAAATAAAGTAGACCTCATTTAATAGATAAATGTATAAGGTGATTATTCAAAACAGCACAGGATATTTCAGTGATCATTTCTAGATTAAAGTGACATACTGAGATTAAAATATTCAGCTTTTGGTATCTGGCAGGAGAAAGAAAGTACTCTACCCTGATAAATGAAAAGTATTTTGTTGCTTTTAAAAGACCTATGTAACTGAAACTTAACTTCACTAACTACAGGAAGTTCAATAGTTGTTTCAGCACAGAAGCCATGTGTAATCAATCACTGAGTTGGTTATTAAAGAGTCAGAGACTCCAGAATACATTTATAGACCTACTGACTATTGTTCATTAGAATACTTTTACCTCTGGATCGCAATTAAAAGCTAATTATTATTTACACTTCATAAAGAGTAGCACAAACAGCACAAGGACTAAACTACGTGCTTAAAACCAGTTTAGGCCCCTTTCACACGGGCCACTGTCAGTTTTTTCAGGTGGATCTGATTGTAAAGTCCATGCATTTCTATGGAAAGATAGGTGTAAATGGTGTTCTTCCATTTAGGTGGATCGGATCAGAGGGTAGTCAGGTGTAAACGGACAGTGGAGTCCATTTACTCCAGGCCACACAGAGTATGGTGTGTCCATATCCACTATGCATAAACTGAGCAGACACGATAAGCTGAATGTACCTGGATTTGGTCATAATGGGTTCCTCAAACATTACTGAAGTACATGTGCCAAATACAAACCCCAATGAAGTCAATAGGAGATGGATGACAAAAACAGTCAAAGCTTTTTTCTAAGCTAACAGGTGAGGCATTGTGAAATAAATGTAATGGAGGGCTGGGCACTAGGACCCTGTAAAGAAGCAAAGAAAATGTAAAAATATATTTAGTAAGCACTATTAAGGTTTTTTTGTATCCCTGCATGAGTTACATGATTCAGTGGTGTAGAGGAGTTGGTGGAGAGTGAAGCCTGCTGCTGAGGTGGATTCCTGAGGAGATTTATTGCTCATGCTGTGTTTGACCTCTTATACTAATTGAGGTTCATAGATTTGAGCACACCTGATCACTGTGTTAGATTGAAGTGACACTTTGGCAAGTTGTGTTCTTTGACAGTGGATGAAGTTTATTTACACTTGCATGAAATACTTGTGCTTTGATTCACAAGATCTTCATTTGGGGAATACATTCAAGTGAACTTTGTGTTGTAAAAAAAAAAATATATTTTTTTGACACAAGATTTTATTTATAATTTTATTCATGATTATTGAACTAATGGGCTGTTTGGGAGCCCTTTAATCTTTTGTTTCTTTATGTCTTTTATGTAATTCATGTAAATAATTGCTTTTTACTGTATTTCACGTTGGACCAAAATTAATATTTTCACTTCATAAAGTGGTTTTTCAACAAAAAACTTGGCTTGTGGCTATTGGAAAGTGTTGCTTACTTCTATGATGCAATCACATGCAATACAAAATCACCATGTTGCCTTAATGTGCCCTAAAATGACTGTGTATTTATAAAAAATATTTTTCAAGAAGCTCAGTGAAGATTGTCATTAAAAAAAGGTTTAGTGTCAAAACTCAACTTTACTCCAGTATTAAAGGGTCTCTTTTAATAAGCAAAGCATATTTTAGAGGTCAAACTTGTGGTATGATTAGAACAGAATTTACCAACTTTATCCTATGCTATTTCTTGCTGTTTATCTTTTTCACATGTTATTTATATATTTATATATTTTATTTGTTCAATTTCTTTCTAGAAACATCTACAAACAACATGCGCTCCTCCTTCTGAGGAAAATTATTCAGTGTCCACCCAGATAACCTCAAGCTGTCCCCCCCCCCCCCCCCCCCCACAGGGGTTTGCTGTGTATTTTGGGGGACCTTTGGAAGTTTCTGGAGTATGGGTGCTGTTTTTTGTTTTCTATTTGTAAATGTCAATTTTGCTTTAGCACATCACACAGGGAGACCCCTCTCGGCAAACCACCTTGTCCCCTTGTTATTAAGAACAAGAGCCTCTACCCCCCAACCCTGTGTGCAGGGAAATTATCTTAAACAGAAAGCCCCCTTTAATAATAAGGAGGCCCACAGATACCCCCCCCCCCATACTGTATATCGTACTCTTTCATAAAAGAATGACAAATAAAGATACCAAAACGTTTTACCCAAAAGTCTTTATTAAAAAAAATAAAAATACCCTCCCCCAAAAAAAACCTTTGATGTAAATCCATGTTAGTTGTTCAGACGAATGCCAGAACCACCAGTGTTTAGTCCAAACTTACATTTAAACCACACACTGAGCTGATCCCTACTTTATATTTTGCCTCACATGTGTCTGTAAAAATGTGACACATGCTAGGGTCTAAAGTGATGGGAAAGCTCTATAATGAAGACTCAGATATAATATGAAGCTGGCAGGGTTTGAGAAGCTTTTCTTATTATAGGCCAAATTAAAGTCAGTATTTTAGATATGGGTTTACAGACAGCTTAAGTGTTTTGATTGTTACTTTAAAATGCAAAATGCTTGACAGGTTCTGCAATAACACACTCAACAATGTACTTGCAACCATCCTATACTGAACTTTGCTGGTGTTCATTCTCTTAGTTTCAAAAAACTCTTTTTCAGCAGTTTCAAAACTCATTTTTAATATTAATCATACTTAGCTGCTTAACCACTTGACCTCCGGAAGGTTTTTTTACCCCCTTCATGACCAGGGCATTTTTTGGCAAATTTCTTCATATATTTGTGGGTCAAAATGTATTCTGCTACCTGTCTTCAGTAAAAAAAATGCCAATAAGTATATATTAATTGGTTTCTGAAAAGTTATAGCATCTACAAACTCTGGTATATATACTTGAATTTATGCAGCTATAGACGCTACTTTTAATGGGATTGTCATAACCTGTAATGACCGTGATCAGAGACTTTTAATGGGATTGTCATAGAGTGGCTGACATTATCTGGCAAAAACCTAGGAGGACAAACTAAAGACACTTTGTGGCTGGGAGGCCCTTGCACTACATAGTTGAAGGTAAATCTAAAGAAATTGGGCAGAAAATCTGCAGATAATTGTATAATGTCAGCCTTACAGTGGCTGGGAGGGTCACTACTGATGTCACTAGTGATACTAATACAGTGATCAGTGCTAATGCTGCACGCTGACACTGTACTAATAGCACTGGCTAGAGGCAATAAAGGGGTTAACTGTGTGTCTAATAAGTGTAATGTGTCTAGTGTGTGCTGCTTTTACTTACTAATCTGGCTGTTTTTTCTCTCTGCTTTTCAGAGAGAAGAAACAGCCAGATTGCTGTTCCTATGTGCACAGTCTTGTTTGTTTGCCAATTAGCAGTTTTTAGCCAAAATCTTTGGCTGAAATGTGCTGCCCAGGGGCGGACTGACCATTTGGGAACCTGTGCACTGCCTGAGGGCTCAGGGTCAGTAGGGGGCCCCATGGGATGCCCCTGGTAACTTTCATAGGCTTTTTTTTGGGTGTGGTTTGAGTGTGGGCGAGGACAAAGGGGCCCCATGATCCCCTATTGCCTGGGGGCCCCATGAGTTGTCAGTCCACCCCTGGTGCTGCCAAACTCATACTGTATACAATCACAACACAGGTCAGCAGGGGGTGTGCGCATGTGTGCCCCAAACCCAGAAGATGGCCGGTCATGTACATGTATGTAACTGTGCCTGTACCTGCAGTCTATTTACTATGAACGGTAAGCAGGTGGTTAAATAAATACATAGTAAAATACAGGGACACAAAGAGGACACTGCTATCTAGACTGTGGTGTTTAACCGCCTCCTACCTGCCATATAAGCAAATGACGGGCGCAAGGCGGTTCTCTCGGTCTGAGAGGACGTCATATGATGTCCTCCCACTCTAACCACGCGTGTGCGTGCCCCTGGGGGTGCACAGGACGGCGATTTGTGGTGCGCTGTGTCCCTGGGACACAGCTGATCACTGATCAATGGAAAGAGCAGAAGACGTCGGCTCTGTCATGTGATCAGCTGTGTCCAATCTCAGCTGATCTCATGTAAATAAGGAAATGCCAGTTATCGGCATTTCTCTCCTCATGAGCTGTCACGTCACAGCTCTGAGGAGAGGGGCCAGTAATCGGCATTCCTACATGTACAGTAATCATCACTGATGATCAGTGCCCTGATGATATGTGTAGCCCCATCAGTGCCACCGCTCAGTGTCCATCAATGCCATCTGCTAGTGCCCATCAGTGCCACATCAATGCCACATATCAGTGCCTACCAGTGCCCATCTGAGCTGCCTTTCAGTGCTAACTATCAGTGCCAGTCAGTGCCACCTATCAGTGCCAGTCAGTGTCGCCTATCAGTGCACATCAGTGCCACCTATCAGTGCCCATCAGTGCTGGCAATCAGTGCCGCCTAGCATTGCCCGTCAGTGCCGCCTATCAGTTCCAGTCAGTACCGCCTATCAGTGCCAGTCAGTGCCAGTCAGTGCCGCCTATCAGTGCTATATATGAGTGCTGTCTTTTAGTGCCCATCAGTGATGCCTGTCAATGCCCATCAGTGCCACCTACCATTGCCTCCTCATCAGTGCTGCCTATCATGCCCATCAGTGCAGCCTATCAGTGCCCATCAGTGCAGCCTCATTAGTGCACATCAGTGAAGGAGAAAAATTACTTATTTACAAAATTTTATAACAGAAACTAAGAAAAAAATTTTTTTTTTTCAAAATTTTCTGTTGTTTTGGTTTGTTTAGCAAAAAATAAAAAACCCAGAGGTGATTAAATACCACCAAAAGAAAGCTATCTGTCTAAAAAAGTATAAAAATTTAATATGGGTACAGTGTTGCATGACAGCGCAATTCTCATTCATAGCGTGACAGCGATGAAAGCTGAAAATTGGCCTGGGCAGGAAGGGGGTATAAGTGCCCTGCAGGCAATTGGTTAAACAATGCCAGAGTACCATAACTACAGCCATAGCACCCAACACAACCTCTTTATTTAGAGATTTTTTCTTACCAAACAGTAAGTAAGCAAATATTCTACACAGAGGCAAACACATAAAACCTAAATAGAACCCATAGTGGTTTTCTCTTTCCAATAAAATCCTAGAAAAAACCCATACAGTATTTATTTCATTGTGTCTTGGATTTTTTGAGTGATAGCATCACTTTTTATCTGTTATTATATTGTCACAAGAATTGATGTGACATCTCAATAACAGAGACCCACAGAGCAGTTACAGACAGACAGGGGTTGTAAGACTTAGTTAAAATAGAAAAAAATGTTTTGTGTAGACATACACTTCAAGATCTCTTACAATATTTTCTCACTTGACAGTGTCTGGTGCCACACAAGAGGGTCACTGTGGTGCTCCACTGACCTTCAGTTTGTGTCACTATGAGTTGTAGTTATTCCTCTGCTGGTAGAAATTTCTTACTGGAATATAACAAGTTTACTTTGTCATTTTTTAATTCGGCTTAGGGAATGAGGCGTGTAAAAGAGTTCACAGCAAATGTCCCCAAACAAAACTGGAAAGTGTTATAATAAGTTTTTATCTAGCCCAAATTCTGCTCATTCACTACACTAAGCCACATTTATATTAGTGTGCTAAATGAAAAGATTATGCTGATTTCAAACAACCAGTAATGTAGTAGCAAGGATTATGCCTAAAATGTTTTTAGGTTTATGTATTATTTGGAAAGGGATTTTTACTTTGTACAAAAAAAACGTAGCTTAGCAAAAGATCAATAATAAAAGTGTCAAATTATTTATTTCCTAAGCCCCACTGACTATTCACATGAAACAACATACACGAGTATACTGTATGTTAAAAGAGGAGGGTGCAAAGAGATAGAGGGTATATGAGGGTTGGGAGGATAATAAGAAATATAGAGATAGTGGAAGCAAAGTAGGGTTGTGTGGTATAACAAAAGGAATATGGAAACGTGAAAGTGGCAAGAGGAGGGGTGGTTGGCAGAGGGTAAGAAGGAATAATAAAGAGAGAATTATGCTGTGTCAGGTAGTGAAGGATGGCATATGTAAAAGGTATTGGGGGTAAGATGCAAGGTTAAGTGGTGTGGAATAGTGAAGATATGTGGGGTAAAGATAAATAACTAAAATGTAAACAAAGGGCGCCACCATCTGAGTGTAGCAATGTATTAAAAAGTAAACAAAGACATATATGCACTCACATATAGTGGTGAAATACAGGCACATCATTTCTTGTGACAGTTCCAGCTGGGTTTCTCAACATTGCATGCAGTTTGGCAGGAAAACATGCCAGGACTGAATTTCAGGAAATAGCTGCTTGTAAGGAGTGGTCAGGAGTGGTGGTTAACCAGCGGTGAGTGCATGGGAAAGCTGATGTAGTGGTTTTGGATAGAGAGGGTATTGAAATACAAAGGGGATTGAAATTGAAATACAAAGATAACCCTCATTCCCCAGTACTGAATTCTGAAAACTCTGTTGCCTTAGTTCACCCCATCATCTCATAATTATCTACAAAAATGGGAGTTAGATCTCAGGATTGATCTAAACATAATGCATAGGCCAAAATCTGGGATACACCCAAATCTTGCTCAAGTAATGTTTCCACAATAGAAACTAACTACACTGCTAAAAGAATTAAAGGAACGCTTTGAAAACACATCAGGTCTCAATGGAGAAAATATCATGCTGGATATCCATACTGATATTCACTGGGCAATGTGTTGGGAACATAAGGATGCCCTATCAATTGATGGAAATGAAAATTATCAACCTACAGAGCACTGAATTCAAAGACACCCCTAAAATCAAAGTGAAAAAATTATGCAGCAGGCTAGTCCATTTTGCTAAAATTTCATTGCAGCAACTCAAAATGGTACTCAGTAGTTTGTATGGCCCCCCATGTGCTTGTATGCATGCCTGACAATGCCAGGGCATGCTCCTAATGAGATTATAGATGGTGTTTTGGGGTATTTCCTCCAAGATCTGGGCCAGGATCCTCCAAGATCTGGGTCACTGAGCTCCTGGACAGCCTGAGGTGCAACCTGGCGGTGTTAGATGGACCACAAAAATGATATCCCAGAGGTGTTTATATTGGATTTAGGTCAGGCGAGCATGGGGGCCATTCAGTGGCATCAATTCCTTTTTTCTTCAGGGACTGCCTGCATACTTTTGCCACATGAGGCCAGGAATGCACCAGGAGGAACCAGGAACCCAGAACCCATTGCGCCAGCATAGGGTCTGACAATGGGTTCAAGGATTTCATCCAGATATCTAATGGCAGTCAAGGTGCCATTGCCTAACCTGTAGAGGTCTATGCAACCCTCCATGGATATACCTCCTCAGACCGTCACTGACCGATCACCCAAATGATCATGCTGAACAATGTTACAGGCAGCATAATGTTCTCTATGGCTTCTCCAGACCCTTTCACTTCTGTCAAATGTGCTCAGGGTGAACCTGCTCTCATCTGTGAAAAGCACAGGGCGCCAGTGGCGGACCTGCCAATTCTGGTGTTCAATGGCAAGTGCCAATTGAGCTCTATGGTGCTGGGCAATGAGCACAGGGCCCACTAGAAGACGTTGGGCCCTCAGGCCACCTTCATGAAGTATGTTTCCGATTGTTTGGTCAGAGACATTTACACCATTGGCCTTCTGAAGGTCATTTTGTAGGGTTCTGGCAGTGCTCATCCTGTTCCTCCTTGCACAAAGGAGAAGATACTGGTCCTGCTGATGGATTAAGGGCATTCTATAGCCCTGTCCAGCTCTCCTAGCATAACTGCCTGTCTCCTGGAATCTCCTCCATGCTCTTGAGACTGTGCTGGGAGACACAGCAATCCTTCTGGCAATGGCATGTATTGATGTGCCATCCTGGAAGAGTTGGACTGCCTGTGAAACTTCTGTAAGGTCCAGGTATCGCCTTTTGCTATCAGTAGTGACATTGACCCTAGCCAAATGCAAAACTAGTGAAAAACAGTCATAAAAGATGAGTAGGCAAAAAAATGTCAGTGGCCTCCACTTGTAAAACCATTCCTGTATTGGGGGGGTCATCTCATTGTTCCCCATCTAGTGCACCTGTTGTTAATTTAATTAACACCAAAGCAGCTGAAACAGATTAGCAACCTCCTCTGCTACTTAACTGACTAGATCAATATCCCAGGAGTTTAACTGACTTGATGCTACACTCTGATTAAAAAGTGTTCCTTACATACATTGATGTATGGTGGGCAGAGGACACTACTGGGGGCTGATGTATGGTGGGCAGAAGACACTACTGTGCGAGGAAATGTTGGGGGAAGAATACACTTCTGTGAGGGGTGATGTAGGGGCCAGAGGACACTATGGTAGGGGGGGTGATGTTTTGGGGGGTTGAGAACACTACTGTGGGAGGTGACATGGGGGGTAGAGGACACTACTGTGCTGAGTGATGTGAGGGACAGAGCATATAACTGAGGGGCAGAGTACACTACTCTGGGGGTGATATTGGGGTGGAAGAGGACACTGCTCTGGGAGTGATGTGGGGTGCAGAAGATATTACTGTGGAGGGCGATGTAGGGGGGCAGAGAACACTACTGTGTGGGTTAATGTGGGGGTGCGGAGGGCATTACTGTGGGGGAATGGTGTGGGAGGGCAGAGGACACTGCTATAGGAGGTGATATGGGGGGGCAGAGGACACTCTGTGTGGGAGGGTGATGTGGGGGCAGAGGACACTACTATGGGAGGTGTTGTGGAGGGGCAGAGGACACTACTGTGGGGGTTGTGTGGGGGGGGGGGCAGAAGACACTAATGTGGGTGGTGATGTGAGGGGAAGAGCACACGACTGTGGGAGGCATAGTACATTAATCAGGTGGGGTGATGCCGGGGGCAGAGGACATTGCTGTTGGGTGTGATGTGGGAGGCTGAGGACCCTACTGTGGGGGGGGGGGTGATTTGGGGGCACAGAGGACACTACTGTAAGGGTAACATGGATGACATAGAACACTACTGTGGCGGTGATGTAGGGGGGCTGAGGACACTACTGTAGGGGGGATGATGGGGAGAGACAGAGGACACTACTACTGGGGAATAATATGGGGGGAAGAGGACACTACTGTGGTGGACAATGTGGGGGGAGGACAGAGGACACAACTAGGAGAGCAGTGGACACTACTCTGGGGAGTGATGTGGGAGGCAGAGGACACTACTGGGGGGGTGATGTATGGTGGACAGAGGACATTACTGTATGGGGGTGAAGTTTGAGGACACTACTTTTGGGAAATGATGTGGAGGGGCAGAAGATGCTACTGTGGGGGGAAATGTGGGGGTCAGAGAACACTACTGCGGAGGGTGATGTGGGGGGGGGGGGGGGCAGAGGACACTGCTCTGTGGGGTGATGTGGGGGGGAAGAGAACATTACTGTGGGGGGTGATGTAGGGGGCAGAGGACGCTACTGTTGGGGGGTTATGCAGGGGGGGAAAGGACACTACTGTGGGGGAATGTTGTGTGGAGTAGAGGACACTGCTGTGGAGGGGGGATGTGGGGGAGCAGAGGACACTGCTGTGGGGGGAATGTGGGGGGGGGGAGGATGCTACTGTGGGGGGTGATGTGAGGGGCAAAGCACACGACTGTGGGATCAGAGGACATTGCTGTTGAGGGTTGATGTGGGAGTGAGAGGACACTACTGTAGGGCTGATATGTCCCTCTATTGGTCTGGGTGGGGTTGGCTCTGGG